TTTCGAAACAGCAGAAGCAACAACATTACAGGAAGATTTTGTTCACTTTTTTTTTTCTTTTGAATAATGTTGTCGTAAATTAAGGTTTTTATATGATGTTGAAGTTATTGTTGTTGTTATTTAGACTAGTTGATATAGTTGTCTTTATTATTATATTGTATTATATTATTATAATTATTATTATTATTATTATTATTATCATTATTATTATTATTATTATTTTCATTATTATTATTATTAATATTAGTTATTGTTTTTATTATCATTATTATTATTACTATTATTGTTATTATTATTACTATCCTCATTATTATTATCATTAACATCTGTAGAAAAGGTATGAATGAGAATGAATATCTTCACAATACAAGAGATGTATTTGACCGGTTTCGATTATATCTTCGTCAGAAATACATGTATTTCTGTATTATGAAGATATTCATTCTCATTCATACCTTTTCTACATTTGTCAACATGGATACGTTTCATCATTAACATTATTATTTCTGATATCATTACCATTATTATCATTATTACTGTTATTATCATCATCATTATTAGCATCATTACCAATACTCTCATTATTATTATTATTATTATTATTATTATTATTATTATTATTATTGTTATTATTATTATTATTATCATTATCATTATTATTATTATTATTATTATTATCATTATTATTATTATTATTATTATTATTATTATCGATATTATTATTATTATTATTGTCATTGTTATTATTACTATTATTAGTATGATTATTATCATTATTATCTTTATTATTATTATCATTATTATTGCTATTATTACAAATATTATTATTATTATTATCATTATTATTATTATTATTATTATTATTATCATTATTATTATTATCATTATTATTATTATCATTATTATCATTTATTGTACTGCCGCGATAGCTCAGTGGTTAGAGCACTGGACTCTGGCCCCAGTGGTCCCAGGTTCAATTCCCCGTCGCGGCAGTCGCAAAAATGCCTGCGCTCCGACTGCTTGCTCGAGCCCGAGAAAACGACACATCGGCTTGAGAAGTCAAACGCAGAAGTCGTAGGGGAAGTCACCGCCGTGGCACAAGTGTTAGCGCGCCGAACCGCGGTTGATCAGGAAGGGCATCCAATCAGGCAAGGGTGACACTGCCATATACCCTCTCAGTACTTAGTTGAGAGAGGCCTATGTCCTGCAGTGGAATGAATGGCTGTTAAAAAAAGAAAATCCGAGTGTGCATTTATCATGCACGTGTGCATGTGAGTTTATGCATATAAGCAAGCGAGCACATGATAAGCATTGATTTGCGACCTTTGGGTTAGTCTTACCTAGGAAATCCGCACGCATGCACACACACATCACGCGATGTGAGTCAGAGTGTGCATTCAACCACGCTCACACACATCTCCCGTAATAGTAGTGTCATTAATATATACATTATTATTATTATTATTATTATTGTTGTTGTTGTTTTGTTGTTGTTGTTGTTGTTATTGGTACTATTATAATCATTATTATCATCATCATCATCATTATCACTATCGTTATCATCATTAATATTATCTTTATTATCATCATCGCCATTATTATCATTATTAGTAGTAGTAGTAATAGTAGTATCATTATTATCATTACAATTATTATCATTATCATTATCATCATTACCATTATTATTATTCTCACTATTATCATTACCATTATTATCATCATCAACATCAGCAGCAGCAGAATCAACATCAACATCATCATAATTATTGTCAATACTATTACCACGAATATTGCTATCATTGAACCGTATTCATGTTGACAAATGTAGAAAAGGTATGAATGAAAATGAATATCTTAGTAATACAAGAGATGTATTTGACCGGTTTTGATTATATCTTCGTCAGAAATACATACATTGTATATCTGACGAAGATATAATCGAAACAATCAAATACATCTTTTGTATTGTGGAAGTTATTCATTCTCATTCATACCTTTTCTACAATTGCTATCATTATCAGTGTCTTCATCCTTACAATAGCTGTTGTTATTGCAAATGATAGTGATAAAAATAATGATAATAATAAAGACAGTGTCAAGACAGTTGTTCTACTGTTTCTAATGACAATGTTAATGATAATGAAATTGATTATAATAATTGATGGTAATTATTGTTCATATATTTTTTATCATAACGACCATTATTACTATTGAATTAATTAATTATTGAATTTCTTAGACTATTATACTTATTGCAATTAACATTTTTTAATAAACATTATCACATCATTATCATGATTAGATTACTTTGGCAAAAATATACATTATCGATAAATAAATGAATAAATTGATTTAGCAGATACACGGAAAGAATGGTAATGTGTGTACGAGTGTGTGTGTGTTTGTGTATGTGTATGTATGTGTGTGTGTGTGTGTGTGTGTGTGTGTGTGTGTGTGTGTGTGTGTGTGTGTGTGTGTGTGTGTGTGTGTGTGTGTGTGT